TGATTTGAGGTAGAATAACAATATTTGTAACTCTAATTATAAGGGGAATCCTACATTTTTTAATCTACAATTTTATCAATGATAAAGCACTTCTTGTGAAATCAAGCCCCAGCTTTACAGTTTTATTCAAACAAGAGCTGTCCACAGAAATTATTTCTGTTTTACTTCATAACTATAATCCTAGAAGTTATTCATGAAAAGAACACAGCTGTGGAGAATATAGTACTCCAGAGCTCTTAACAGATTTTTTCTGTTTGTATCATGTTCAAAGTATGTACAAAATGTATTCCAGTCAAGATAAAACACTGCTTGTTTTTTTAACATGTAACTAAAATTGCATGGATATTTTCCAATGAAATTTAATTTTTGAAAATGTACAAAAATCTCTAATCACAGTTTTAAAATAGTAGCTTTTGGAAACTGATAATAAATGAAGCAATTAATCTATTAAATACAAGTGGAATAAACCCACTCAAATTATGATAAATTTTCATTATACTGATTTAAAGCAAGTCAACATACTAAGGAGTAATGATTCTGCATATATCCTTTAATGAATATCTGTTGGAAAAACACAAAGTGGTGGAAAAATCTCTTTAACAGAATAGAAGATACATGCAATACCTCCAAATGCATAAATTCTAGCAGCACCATGAGAATACATTATGTAAACATTAGAAGAATTTAAATGTAATAGGTGCTCAAAATAGCCAATTTTCCATTAAGATAATCAAACTTTTAAAAATTTATCAGTATAAAAATAGCTTCATGAACTACTGCTATATATATATATATCTGCTCTCAACTCTCAAAAATATAACAGCAGCTATTTATCAATATATTACTATATATCTGAAAATCATAAATTCACAATGAACAAAATAAAAAATTTCCGTTTTCAGCATTATAATTCAGTATTACCCTCTAACAGCCCTAAGAAACTATAAAATTAACTATTTCTAAGAGAATTTTAGATATCTTTATATCTTCAAAAATATCCTAGAATTCATTGAGAAACAATGAGTCAGTTCCAAAATTCCATATAGCTGATACTATGAAGAAAACAAATCCCTCTTGGACTGAGAACACAAAACTGTCCTCCATATTATATATATACATGGATAGCTATATATATTATCAAGCATCCAGTATTTTATTTAGTATACAGATGACTCTTGAACAATGCAGGGAGTTAGGGGTGTCAACCCTCAATGCAGTAAAAAGCCATGCATACACAGGTGGTCCTCTGCATCCCTGGTTCCATATCCATGGATTCAACCAACTGAGGATTGTGTGCTACTGTAATTTTCACTATTGAAAGAAATCCACATATTAGTGGACTCTGTAAGCTCAAACCTGTGTTGTTCAAAGGTCAATTATATAGCTAATCTAAGACTACAGCCTCAAAGAAAGTCCTGAACGCTTCAGTGGGTCAGTGTATACCTGTTCAGTCCCAAAAGTGTATTATCAGTTAGGTTAAAAAAAATATTTTCTAAGAAAAAATAGCAATTCAGGTAAAACTTAATACTATTTCCCAAAGAAATTAGTAAAGATTTTCATCCTCATAATCTTCCTATTTTAGACATCTCTAGACTTCTATAGCATTCAAATAAATATACTTTTAAAAGTGTTAATTTATCAGAACTTATTTAATGAAAATATTTTTGTGTAGTTTATAACAAGGACACAAAACAGTACTGTAGCACTTGACTAAGGAATATTGAGCAGTTCATACATTTTAAAATTTAGTTCAGCAGTATAATTTTTAAAAAATCAAAGACAAGAGTAAATAAAGGGAACTCTATAATGCCAGTAAATAGAATTTAGATATAAAAAGTTGTACTAGCTTAGTAAATAATAAAATACAGAAGTAATTTTTAAAAAGTATTTGTGGATGAAATTATAGGCCTGGGACTTGCTCTAAAAATACAAACATGGAAGAGTGGGTAGGATTAGAAATGAAACAAGACTGGCCATTTTTTCCTAAATTTTGTAGCTCAGAGGTCGGTGCATGGGAGTTCACTAAAGTATTATCTCTTTCAAATACATTTGAAACTTAGTGTAAGTTTAAAGACTAATAAAAGAAATATTGCTTTTCTCTTTAAAACTAAGTAGCACTTCTTAAAAAATAAATAAAGCTTATAGTATAAATAAACTATAAATACATTAGTAAATTTTCAGGACTGAATGAAAACTCAGGGCCTTCTTTTGGCATGATAATTCATGAATCAGTGAGGTTTAGGTAAAAAACTTAAATTTTAAGAAGGGCACAAGCTGGCTTGCTAAATAGCTATTACTATCATAAACTCAGTCCACTTGCCTGACTAGATCATTGTTTCCCATATCCTTCCATCTTTAAAAAAAAAAAAAAACAACACATAGATGTTCTAGTGATTTTGCTCCTAATTTAGCAATAAAATGATATCAACCAGAATAGAGGAATGTTGGCAGAATATCTTTTTGGCTATTCATTCTTTCCTGCTGAAAAAAGTACCGAGGAAGAAAGGCAAAAATAAACAGTATATGCAAGCCTTAAAAACACAGATTTTAAATGTTTTCTTTGCCATGGTAAAAAAGGATAGTTTATCAAGTTTAAACATTTGTGAGTTTCAGATTTAAAGAGAAATTATTTTAATATTCTTTGTGTAATTTATGAAACATTGACCTTATTTCTATATAGTTTTCCTGATAAACATTTATTAAATTCCTGATACAACAATGCGCTTGTTTGGGGGATTAGGCTAAAATGCACTATTAAAAAACTTGGGAGTACATACTAGGATCAAAAGCGTTAAGCCGTAAATCAAAAGTAGTTACTAATAACCCATGTGACCTAGGACAAATCATCTAACGTCCGGAATGTGTCAAAGGCACAAGCGTTCAAACTTTGATGTTTTACCCTATAATCCAGTCCACACTAAAATATATATATTACTGAAACACAGTTTCGTCTCCTAATGTTGAGTTTTATTTTGTTTTTTCCTATTTAATTTTATATTTCTTTTTCAAAATGAAATGAATAACCTAAGTTGATTTCAAACCACTACAGTTTGAAAAATCCTAGATTACACCATCTCTGAAATCTCTAATGTTATTTTGATATTCTAACATTAGTTGTAAATGATTCAGTTTCCTATCTCAGGTAAGAATCTTAATTTTAATCAAGTAACTTAGTGAGTATTCATTAATATTGATTGATATAAAATCAATACAAGTTCAGAGGATATATCTTCTAAAATCCTAAAGGATTTTTTAAATAAGAAAACTCTAAGATTGCATAATGCCTTTAATATAACCAAAAGCTTAAATCGACCTGTTAAATTTCATTTTCAGAATTCAAATGTCTCCTTGGCTAACCTATATATTCCAGTAGTCAAAGAAGCTGTATCTTCACATCAAAGAAAGTAACTCCTATTTGACTCCCAAGAACAAAGAAAATCAATAGATGACCAGTTGCAGTTAGTAATTCCAAGCACTGAGGATTAGCAAAGTAATAAACACTCAGAAAATTCCAGGTGCAAAAAGTAGACTAGAAACAGCTTTACCAATGATAAGTACAAAAGTTCTTATTTCTTAACGCAACAGTATTCAATGCACATGTCTTGTTTAAGTTTTAGCCAAAGAAATCAAGTTTATAATTATGTTCACTGTAGTCACATCTATTTACTAACTGGATGTGCTAAACAGGAAAGAAATTTTTGCTCCCCTCAATACAAATATTTCTAAAACTGCACATGAATCACATTGCTCTTTAGTAGTAACTGTGTATTTTAAAAATTAGTATGGTTTACTATCAGTGTAAACATACAGTCTTCAGACTGGATGAACCAAAAATGTTCACACATTCCGTCATTCTTACAGGTATAGAAACGAGAATGAGCTTATCCTGAAATACTTAGAGCATCGCCTCTATGAAAACTCCAAAATGTGCCTCTTTTATGCAAAATTATTTGCATTTTAGAAACAAACTGGAATAGCCTCATAGTCAAACAGTTTTTCCCCCATTCATTCCTAAGAAAAATCTTAAATGTCTTCTTCCTTGGGCCCTCAATGTCTCTAGTAAGTTTAGTCCTGTACCCCTAACAGTCAACCAAAATTCAATAGAAAATTCAAACAATTCAATCAAAATTAAAATTCTCATATGAAAAAGTTTGGAGTATCTCACTTCACCATTCTTCTGAATATGCTAAAGAATTTTATTTTTTTTGAACTGGTCCAGAAAGAGATGCATGACAAAGGAAAACTTTTTTCTTAATTTTAATTAAAACTACCTAGGTCAAAAGTTTCCAAAGGATAAAAATAAAGACAATGACTGATAGGTATTTGTTTACATTTGCAGATTCTCAGATCTCCTTACATCCTAAAAACACTCCAACATGGCCAATAATTAGGGTAACTGGTTTGGAACATATTTAGAATAAATTGCATCTTTTTAAAGTATCAAATTCTTTAAAACTCAGAAGCATGTGAAGATTTATCTTCTGTTAGTTGATGTGCAGAAGTAAGTCTGATATTAACAGGTTCATACTGGAAGTTACACCAATAAACCGTTTCCTTGTTTGAAATCATACAGTGAGATCACCTCTAAGCAACAGCAAAGCTTAATTTCAGAGTAGGAAACCTAATTTTTTTTTTAAATTTTTATAACTCTCAAGAAGATACATGAAAATGGAAACCAGGCTAACAAAGAGGGTCTTTTACAGGCTGGGTTAAGAAATAAGTAGAGGAGACTGGCAATAACATGTTGTCTCACTGAAAAATGATTTGTACAATAATTAGCTCAGTAGCCCTTTTCTACAAAGGTAATAGAAATTGCCCACTCCAGTCCATCTAGGCAACTATAAACTATAAATTAGTAAAACTTTTCTGAAGTTAAGAGTTTATAAAATAAAAAATCTGACCTGGAATTTTAACTCAGGGTTGTAACTTTGCAAGATTTATTTGAAACCAAGTGAGTTTCTACATGTTACTTAATCATGATGGTTGAGCTGAATCTGTACCTATGTGAGAACGGCAATGCGTTCTGAGTGGGTTCAGGCCGTGGCTCTGAGTTCTGCGTCATATCAGGAGTTCTCTCATCATCTGTCCCATTGATGCTTTCTGGTGTTAAAGGAGACTGAAGATCCCCGCCTGCTGATTCCTTTTAAAAGAAAGAAAAAAGGGCATGGGGATTAAAAAAGTGTTACAGTTTTGTTAAAAAACACATCATCTAAAAGTTAAAACTGACCCTGATATATGCTTACTTTTGAAATATGGTCATATTTCAATTGAAATTTGAATAAAAGACTTAAAAAATGAAATTTAAACAAAAAAAATTTAAAGCGAAGCAATGCATAAGAAAACTATCTGAAATGATACAATTTAAAAATGTAAACCTACAACTTAGAAATGTAGCTTCAAAGAACTAAAAAACTTTCAGGTTATATAAGCAATTAATTGGTTAGATGTTCAAATCATTACTTGAGAAGAAAAAGAAAATAAGACAAAACTGCAAGATTATTATTTATTATTTATGGGAGGGTAGGAAGAGAAAGAATGAAATCTTAAGTCTCAATTCTTTTATATGCCATAATTTTCAGTTCTAAGAGTCATTTAGAAAAGTAATTGGAAATATTCCTGCAACACATTATATACAATGATGTTAGTGTATTTCAGCTTTTCTTGTTTGCTACTCATAATGATATTATCTCTCTTTGCAAAATTTCCTGTTTTATTTCTAACAAAGTGAATTTAAGTTATCCCACTGGAAAATAGATGGAATTTAAAACAAAGCTCACTCTGACACTTACTCTCATGACTGTCATCACTAGATTATCTAAATTTGATATTAGAAATCAGAATGAGGTGTCATTGGACAAACCCATCAACCACGGAAGGACCCAGCACAAGATGGTTAAAGAGCAGCTTGGTGGACCCCTTACAACTTCAAAACTGAAATATTAGGCTAAATTAGGCAAGAAAATGAAAACATCAGTATTCAATAGGGGAGTGGCTGGGGATGGTCATAATTTGTCAACCTGAAAGAATGTAAGATCTCCTCCAATAGAAACAAGATGAATGTGTGTAATATAGGAAATTGCTTATAACTAGAAAAAGCGATGATATAAGGAGATACCTAGATTATGATATTTATATACTTTATGTAACAACTGTCACTCATGGAGGAGCACTGGAAAGAAATATGGAAAATATAACGTGGTGAGGTCAACTTTCTTTTCTGGGGCTTTTAGTTTTATACGGCTCTATGTGTTTTATTTCACATTTAAATATTTTAATAGTACCACAATGCTATAAATTATAGAAACTACCAAAAGATCAAAAGACTTCGTTCTTGATTCCACATCCTCACCTATTTTTCAATTATTAATGGAACCTCCAGTTTGACATTTAATTAAATTTTTCATCTGAATCTACTGTTTCTATTAACTGATAAGTCAGTGCACAAATAGTTTGCAGTATATTGTGACAACATGAAATTGTTTTACAACAAAGTCAAATCCTACTGAGAGAACAGTAACTAAAATGGCTATTTCTTGATCAATCATGGGCCATATCAATTAGCCTGGAAAAGTTTTAAGCAGCCAGTAAGAAACCATGAGGTGTTCATATTTGGTTTCAATAAATTAGGAAAATTTTTTCTCCAAGAAAGGCCAAACTAAAATAATCCAGGTTGACGGTCCAATCAACTAAACAGTAAGTTAGCCAAGAACTGATTCAGTGAAAATGACAGCAGAAACAAATTGCTTTGTTAACATGAAAGAGCACTGATATTAGCAACAAGGACCTGCTAGAACTGGTTGATAAGAGTAAAAAGGAGATTAGGATTAAGAGAGAGAGAGAGGAGGAGTCTCTGATTTCTGGTTCTTACGACCTTGTGGAATGAAGTAAGAAAGTTGATGAGGCATGGCTGTTGGGGAGGATAGTACTGTTGATGCCACTGAACCAGACTGTTCTCAGAGACAAGCTAAGAAGGAGAAAAGGAAGAAAGGGCCTCAGGCTGCTTTTCTTCCAGAGGCTCAAATATTCGCTATATTTAATAAAAGGCATATTTAAGTTACCCTAGACGTACGTCTAAAATGAAAACAAAAGCCCTGAGCACGTTTTGTTTTTAAGGATGTTTGCAAAAAAAATCAACATTTGCTCAGGAGAACAAGAAAAAGTTCCAACAGTACATGAGGGCAATGAAACTTGTCAAAAGTATTGTGTGAAACCTTCTAGAAATTTTACATATGCTAAAAATAGCACTGTGAAACTTGTTTTATTTAACATATTCCAAATATCTAGTTGTTTTTAAATTAAATTCTGTGTAATTTCCTATCCAACTGTAGTTATTCCTTAAAAACTTTAACTTTCATAAAATCTATATTTTATATCTTTAAATCAAATATCAAACTAAAAAGCATGAAGTATATTTGGCAGAAACCAATAAAATTCTGTAAAGCAATTATCCTTCCATTAAAAAATATACAAATTTTTTTAAAAAGCATGAAGTATATCTGCTAGACTACAAACTTTGAAAAAGTAGGATAATTTCTCTTTAGAAAGGGACTCCTAAGCTAATATGGCTAGCACGTCTATAGTAAATGTTTAAGGAAAAATATATTGAATAATATATTCTTTGATCATAGTGATAACAAATAAAAACTTTGCATTTTAAAATATAATAGTATCAAGGAAGCCAAAACTAGAAGATATGACCATATTATAAGAAAAGAAACCTGAGCAAGGATGTACAAGATTCAGAAAGTGCATAAGAATTCTCTCTCCTCATTTATGAAGTGGCAAGAAAGCCCTCCCCTGGAAAAAGCAAAAAGCCCCAGAAATATCTTGAATCACACGGGAAAGAAATGATGTTGGCTCTCACTGCAGGCCAGGCCTTCAGGGTGCTGTCCCAAGCCTTCTCTCAGGTGTCTGTTCAGGGGTATGTGCCGCAGCAGGAGAGTGGGTGTCAAGGGTTAGCTCTACGTGAAGAAAAACAAATCTCCGGAAATTGTAGACCATCAAATTTGGTATGGTTTATGTAAGAAAGATTCATAATCAGGATTAAAAACACATATCTGCACTGTTCTTAATTTTGGGCTTCCCTGGCTCAGTGATTAAGAATCCATCTGCCAATGCAGAAGACACAGGAGACCTGGGATCAATCCCTGGGTTGGGAAGATCCCCTGGAGGAAGAAATGGCAACCCACTCCAGTATTCTTGCCTGGAGAATGCCACGGACAGAGGAGCCTAGTGGGCCACAGTCCACAGGGTCACAAAGAGTCGAACACAACTCTAAGAAACATTCATAATCTGGATTAAAGACATATGCCTTCACTGTTCTTATTTTGGAGAGCATATAATTATATGAAGAGAGCTCTAGCAAATCTTCCCTGAGGCTGTAAATGTTGTTCTTGTGGTATTTGGTTCAGTAAAGGAAACTTGTCAAATGATACTATGACAAAGAAGGTATCATATTTAATGTATAGGCATTCACTAATTCTAAAGGTATATTTTTGGGCTAGATATGTAAATAATATAGTCTAGGATAGTAACAGGTCTAAATGCAGACCACCTTTCAAAAAATCCATTTATACCAAGAAAATCTAAAACACTCAAGATTTATTGCATTTGAAATGTCCTTAATACATGATATAGTTCAAACCTCTGACCTTATAGATTCAAGAACCACTGCCCAAAGAGATCAACTGATTTTCATAGGATCGAATAGCTAGTCACAGAGGTCCTAATAATCACTTACAAGAAACCAGTGCCATTTGGGCAAATACAGTTTATTGCTAAAATGAACATTTTAAAAATTATGACATTTACACACACACCAAAAAAAGAAACTGATTTTCTCTGAATACACACACTCAGACGCATGTAGAATCTATTTTTTCTATAAAGTGAATTCTAAAAAATCTTGAGGAAAAAGTTAAGACATACTAAATATAAATCAAGATAGCCACTACAGTATGTTCAATGCTGCACAACCTGACATATTAAATGGAAAAAAATAAAAAGCCCATGACTTTTGCTTGGCTGCAAACAAGTGATGGAATTAAGTAGATTTTACTCAATTTAAAAGTCTTAGTCAACTGACAGCTAAAAATTAATTTTTTTCAACTCCAATGAAGAAACATTTGGATATTATTTGATAATATAGCCCCTTTCTCTATTAATTTAACTGAAATATAGTATTTTGCAACTGTGAACTTTGTAAGAAATTTCAGGTTTAATGTCAATCATCACTCTTGATTATGTATCATTGACTGTTTAAAAGATTCCCATGAAAACATGAGAACATAAGATCTCCAACAGAGAAAAAGTTTTAAATTAATGTCTATTATTTAAAGAGAGATGTGAAAGAACCTGACAACTAACACATGAGTCCATGTATTCCTAGAGATGTTACCTTGATGAAGACAACATGAAGATCATGACACACCCACACATTTATACCACGTGTACAACCTTAGCTCAAGAGTCTAAGAGGGAATTGGCTAATTCTGCTTTAAATGCCAGACTCCTTTCATCACAAGCCTTTAGGGAGATGGAAGGATTTATCTACAGCAGTGTTGCTCAAAGTCTGATCCTCCAGATCAACAGTCTTCAGCATCTCCTGGAAACTTGTTAGAAATGCACATTCTAAGGCCCTATGTCAGCCCTTCTAAATTTAGAAATGGTTGGGACTCAGCAATTTGTATTTTAACACGTCTTCCAGGGGCTTCTGATGTAGACTTTATTTAATTAAGGCATCTGTATTTTTCTAAATAACACTGTCAAGGCTTCATAGCATCATCTTCACCATTATAGTCACATTACAACTCAACTGTTAACATTAAGCCTTTACTACATACTGAGCACTTTGTAATCCTTACTTAATTCTCACGACAACTTTGTAAGGAAATAACTTATTCCCATTTTATGAATTAAAGAAAATACTAACGTGCCTAAGCTCAGGAAACTAATAAGGGTTAGAGTCCAGATCAAAGCCGAGCTCTAGAGTCTACATTATTGCCATTAGTGCATGACATTGTCAACGTGACATTATCATTAGCATATTTATTCCACCCAACAATCCTGTAAGGTAAGTAATGTAACATTCATGCTGCAGATGTATTAACAGACTTAGATTAAGCAAATTTTTCAAGATCACATAGTGGCAGAAAAAGAATTTATGTCTAAGTTTGACCTGAAAATACATATGCCTAACTTGTCTGCAATACAGCCTTGAAGAAAAGCAAAAGCTGTGACTATCTACTATTATCAGTTATCACATTTAGTCTCTTGACTCCCTTTGCTGAATTCCTGAGTAATATTCTATTCTCCAGGCAGAGTGTTAATTTAGTAGATTGGATTAAACCAGTGAAAATCAAGCTCAAAATGAATAGAATCAGGGTGGTCAGAGATTACATGGTTCAAAGTGAAACAGAAATATTAATGACCTCTGTAAGAGACTGTCATACAAAAAAAGAAAGGAGAGGAAAGAGAAATGAAAATATTTTTCCCCCTATTTCTCTGGCTTCTGTAAATTAACAATCAGACTTCAAATATTTTTAAAAGATAAATTAAGGTCAGAATATTTTGGTTCTCAAATGTTAATGTACTTAAGACATTTCTTTACTCATTGTATTTCACAGCACTTTCCAAATACAAACATCTTCGATTCCCCTGATGAAAGTAAAAGCTTAAAGACATTCCTTCCACCAAAGACGACAAGCAGGGACCATAGCAGCAATGTGTAACATTTCATGACCAATTAAACAAAAACTAGTTATGATTAGAGAAACAGGAACTAAGTACAATGGCAAAGTGTAATCTATTATAATTTTATTAGAGTCTTTGGTGTATTCTTTTATTGAATGTGCTGGAGCATCCTGCAGTGACACTAGAATCATTCACTTGAGGAACTAGAGCTCCCAATGTGTACTGGTACTAAATTTTAAACAGGCTTTTATGTTTAAAAGAATCACTACACTATCATAGCATTTAGGGAGATTCAAGGGAAGTTTCAAAATGATCATTCATGTTATTCCAGGTCTCGGCAAATATAGAGAAGGAATAATGGAGCTTTGGCTTCAATCCAGAGTTCACCTTTGGCCTGTGAGGAAATGCGTACTTTAAGCATACTTAACAGAGCTCTCCTTTCCTCTGAAAACACTCAAAACTCTTTATACCAGTAGGGTTTACCAAATAGAGTTGGGTGTCAGCGGTGGGGAGGAAGGAAGAGTAAAATAGTTTCTACAATGTTCCAATAATTTGGCTAGTCACAAAATTCCAAGGCAATCACTATCTACTTCCTTAAGAAAGTTTTATGTAAATCAGCTACTTACTGACATATTCCACAGAAACATTTGTAACATCCAATCCTTCCTTTTATAAAATCTCCTAAGGACACTTCAAAAACAATTAGCCTAGAGAAGAACCCAGTATAAAGCTGAACCTTACCCATAAGATTTCAACTGAAATAAAAATTTTAGAAAAGTATATTATTAAAAAACCAAAAGTTACTGGCATTCTCTGAGTCATATTATTACATTAAAACCTTTGTAAAAGTACTGAAATGCAGCTATTTAATGAATTTTATTTGGAGATGTAATTAATTTCCAGCTGAAGAAAGACTACAATGGACAAGTGGTAGATATTAACTAACCTGTTAAAGGAAAAAGTGATACTTTTTAAAAACCTACAACCTTTGGGTCTTAGTGCTGAGATGTAAATGACCCAACTGTCAGATTTAAACACATCTTAAAATCAGGGAGAACTATATTGTTTATATATTTTAATTTTCTGTATACTGTGATGACATCTTAAAAACCTTTCTAGTTAGCCAGAGAGACAGCAGGGGGCTGTTAGTCTTAGAGACAGCAGGGGGCTATGATGGGAGCATGCCTTTGATAGCAAATTAACCACTCCAGGAAACACTCTCCTATAGGGCCCCTGCCGTGGGGGAGACAACATTCCAAGGGTGGGGTGTTAGGCAACTGGGAACCGCCCCTACGGTTTAGAGCCAGTTGAAACCATGCAGATTAGCCAATCCTAAACTGTTCCCACCGCCTGCCATTCCCAAGAGAAACCCCAACACAGGCTCTAGCCTTGGTTGTGTTGCCCTGAACGCCTGCTTTCTGCCCGCTGCCCAACCTGAGGCATCCTGCTGCCCCCTAGAGGGGGCATGCATCCTGTTAGGGGAAACACAGTGAAACCGCCCAGCCTGGCCACGCACCACAGTAACATGTGCATGAATTACTTTAAGACAGGAGGTCCTGGTAAGGAACATGGAACTAACAAGCCACCACCAACCGGAAGAATTTAGGAAAGGTCAAAAGGAGATGTCACGTGTCCTACCACCTCCCAGAATCCTTCTCGTTGCATCCATCTTGCTGGAGCAATGCATGTACCACCAGGAAGGACCCTGAGTCAGAATAATTGGCCAGAGACAGCCAATTATTCTAATCTCATCACCAGAAACCCCCGAGACTGCAAGTCACGTGACAGAGCAGGCCTCCTGGGTTCCCTTTGCCTGCTGCGCCCCTTCCCAATACAGTCCCTTGCTTTGTCAGCACACGTGTCTCCTGGACAATTCATTGCTAAGTGTCAGAGAAGAGTCCACTTTGGGGGCCCTAGAGCACTCCTAGGAGCACCCTCCCTGGAGCACTTCTAGGACCTGGGAGTACAATAGACTTCTGTTTCCCCAAGCGTCTCCCACGTCTCCTCTTGCAGCCACACTCTACTGGTCATCACAGAAGGCAGACAACAGGGCAATCTCTGCTCTTTGTGTACAATTGTTTTCAAGTTGTGTGCATATTAGAAAACTGACTTTTAATTGCTAAACAGATTTCCTACCCCTCCCCGCCCCCCCACCATGAGACTGTTATACACATTGGTATATAAGGGAAAAAATCCTTTCTCCACCAGTACAGATCAACTGAAGAGTGCATATTTCTATGTCCACTTTGAAAATCACCTTAATTTTGTCATTATTTTTCTAAATTTATCTCTGGCATAAGGCATGATATCATCTAAAATGAACAAGGAATAGAAATTAGATACCCACCTGTGAAGGTGTACTGGTAAGTTCCATCTTTTCCTGTGATTTCTCCTTTGCTAGTCGAGCAGCTTCTTTAAATTCCTGAAACTTTTCTGCAAACTGAATGCAGAAAGACTACATACATTAACCAAATAAAAATAGGTCTTAATGCCCACTTTTACTCTAATTTTCTTCCATTTTACTGAATAATTGACTCTTACACAAGCAACTTAGCCCTCAAATCAATTATAGGCATAATACGAAAATGACGGGAAAATAAATCTAATATCAAATATTTGCATACCATAAAGTACTCTGACAAATCTCATTCAAAAACATCATGATACAACTAAGTTAGAATTTGGTGTCAGCTAGCTTTGCTGTGTCCCTCCTTGGTTGTTCAGATATACTTTACTAAGACCAAGGCAGGGGATGGGGCAGAGGTTGGGAGTGAAATCAGAAAAGATGGGCACACTTATCACAGAGGTCCACTCCTAAACATCTCTGGAGCAGGCCTTTAACTTTTACTAGGATATTAACTCTTGTATTACATGAGGCATTTTATTTTCAGCAATACAAACAGCAACATTTATTACTGTCACTGATGACATTACTAAGTTTTCATTACCAAAGATTCCTAAACAGCAGCAGAAAGGAAAAGCAGGTCCCCACGAAGGTCTTTAAGATTGGCAACAATTTAAAAAATTACTTTTATGAAATGCTAACTCTTAGGAACTCAAGGTAATCTAATAAATAAAGGCCATGGCTACAAACAGTATCTCTTTATGCACTGGAAGTGGAAATTACTCTCCCACTGTTCTCAGAGAGAATAAGCTAAGGTTACAAAATAACCAGATTTTTTTAAAAACCGAAAATCTTTGTGCAACTTTAAACATCTATTAGAGTTGGCAATAAAAACATGAAATTACAGGTCCCTCTCAAACCTGATAACCCAACCCCAATTTCACTTTCATCTTGGGAAGGAAAGCTTTGGAAGGAAAGGCTCATGATATTCTGACCTACTGCAGAGAAACAGAAGGTCAAAATTAAAGCTGTTATTATAACAATTTTCCTTCTTACCTTAAACCTGTTTCCCCCCACCTACAACTTGTAGATCAGTAAACTGAATCTGATTATACTAATCTAATTGAAGAGAATATCATATTACTGTTAAAAAAAATCTGAATATACAGCTAAAAAGGTAACATTCACATTATTGGAAATGAAATAAAAGCAAAACCATAATTAGTCTTTATGTAATTTGAAGTAGTACATAAAGTTTTTCTTACACTAATTTGGCATTCCAAGGTAGTTAATGTTTAAAACTCTTCTCAACTTAATAAAGACCCAAGCTGCTGTTAATTTTTATAGACTTAGGTTTCCATGATAACAAAATACCACTTGGAAAGCACTCTAACAATCCAAGCATAGTTGAAATTTTCCTCATCCATCAACCTTAGGAGACCACACATTTCTTTTCAGTGCTCCTGCTCTCCACATTTTGAGAGCACCTTGTCTACAATTGCCTTCAGAGACTTCTCCAATCTCTTATAATGTTCTGTTTCATGTATGGTTTTTTAATGATAAAAATAAGCCAGAATATTTCCATGCTTGCTTCATTTATGGAAAAGATTATATACTCCTCTGGGCCCCCTACAAAGCACCAACCTTAATCTTCAAGGTAGCTTGGAAAAGAAGTCATGGTTTTGTTACTTTTGGACCAAAACATTCTGAAGAGATTGACCACAAGCTCCTGGAGCCAAGTCTAATGAATAAATAAACTAGGGTTGACTAATAGGTCATTTCCTAATAGTCAGTCCACCTTCACAATACAATACTAGGATTCACTACCAGTCAGTTTGGTCAAATATATACACTAACTTTAAAGAGGAAAAACAAATTCTTTAACTATAAACACCATTCTCAGAAAAAGTATCAGATAAGAGGAAACAATATGATTGACAGATTTTAATAAACTATTTCCTTGTCACATTAGTTTTTGCCCATAACTTGAAAGATGTAGTTATAAATAAGAACCAACTTAATAAAAAATTACTCAGGTTCAAAAATTATTTCATACAAGTTTGAGAAATTAATCCACAACTTAGTTTCTTTGTTGTCAGGAAATTCAGCAAGTATAATATAATCATAGTTTTAATGTTTTTGCTATAGGGTTTAATAGACAATTTCAAAAGAAAAGTTCCAAAAAGGTTCTGAGTAATGGCAAAAATATTAGAGTAAATGTGTAATTTCCTGAGGGGATTATTTATGGAGGGGCAACGCTTAACTGGATGCCTATGTCCCTGCTTTGTTGAAATACTTTGAGGCTAAAACTCATGCTTTTACCACAGTTCAAGAATATGGTGGGTGTAAGAGAAGCGAAATTAGGCAACACTGTTTGTCTTAATCATTGACGAAAGTTCAAACAGTCGTAAAACTGAGCTTTCAACTCTAATTTATATTTTAAAAAAAAAAGACAACAAAAGCACTTGAAAACAACATTAAGGAAGTTTTACAACTAAAACCAAAGGAAAGAAAGATTATTTTAACTACTGAACTAATTATAACCAAATCAGTAAATATTCACAAAAGTGTAAGATTTTTTTAAAAAGAACTGATTTTTAAGAATCTGAATGATTTCTATAATGAACAGTTTGGGTTTAACTTAAGTATTAACAGTGTGCATCTAACAAGAGCCTGATTACCCTGCACTTGAGCAATTTCAGTTCTCAAGTCATCGGATCTTATGTATCCCAAATCATACATAAAATATGGTTCAAATGTAGGCTTGTTCTCTTAACTGAATACTTCAAACAGAGAAGTTGTAAACATAAACCTTTGGGTCTGGTGAGCATTAAATGTGAAGTATAAAGGTGGGCAATCATCTCCTGGATCATCTCATTATCCTGACATTGCTTCCTTTTCCTTATAAACTCTTTCTTTGTGGACAGCCATAAGAACTCAAGATGCTGCTTGTATGAACACTTCATGGCTTTTTGTTTCTATGCAGGACAACTATTTTATTTCCAGTATTTTGCCCAGGCGATGCTCTGTATTTTACCAGCCATTTTAGCCATAGCAATTTACTTGGTTGGTTCCAAGAACTCCTCAGGGGGTCTCTTAGAGCTTACTCTGTGCTGTATCAGACAGCTCAGAGTTATTCTCACCCAAACAAAACATAAAACAGAATTTATATGTGCCTGCTATTATGTAAAAAAGCTGAAATACCACTATCGGCTTGAGTTTCCACAATTCAGAAGAGTTTGGTGTTTACCTATATTGCAGAACATCAATAAAATGTGCTATCCACCAAGCAAAGTCCATATTAATGTGATAATTCCCACCTTTTATTTCCTACCACACCTAGTTAACCACACAAATGCCAATACAATACATACAATCAATGGTGACTGCATTTAATGTATACAACAATGTTTCCAGTTGACAGTGGAATCTACTGATCTCTCACTTCTTGCTCTAAAGTCACTACAGTTGTTTCAAGAATATCAAAGAAATTTCTCCTACATTTTATACTCTCCATTTTCCATTACATATATAAGATGTCTGACCAGAAGATGCAGATTTCCACTTGGATCTTGTGATTTAACTTACTTTCGAAAGATGATGCTCAGAGGAGAACCCCAGTCCATAAACAGTATTTGCCCTGCTATCGGCCCACTGGCCAAACTTCTGAGATGTTTTAGTAAATGTCATGTTTGGAGTGATGGTGCTGTTAATTATTGCCTGAAAAATAAAATAAGTATGAGGAACCAGCCAAAAATTTGCAAATAGACAATCAAGCACAGGACTATTCAGTTAACATAAAAACTTAGGATTCCTAATGAGCCACAATGTTAAGTATATGAAGAGAGTTAGAGAAACAGTTTTTAACATTATAAGTGATAATGTGGAAATATGGTAATAAAAGAACTATAAATACAATGGCACTCTCACAAATTTCAACACTTGACAAGCAAAATAAATGTTCCTGTGATGCACAGAATTTTAAAGAGTTTATAATGTGGTCAGTGTCTTCTCTTTGAACATTTAGGATTACTGTCTATGAATTTTGGGTGATGTTCACTGGAAGCAACTAGGTTTTAACAGATGCTTATTTAAAAGTAAAGTCTCCCTCCTGAAAGCATCTTACAAAAATGAAGACACTAAATTTTTTGTTTGAAAACTATTTTCTAAAATCCATCATCAAAAATTTTCTTAAAGCCAACTTACCTGAAATATACTGTGATACAGAAAAGATTTTCAATCATTTAGTAAGTTTTCCTCTATTCAAGAGAAAAACAAACCCCAAAATATATACTTCTTGATGTATAAAGTGGTATAAAATCATGTTAATGAGACTCACTATCATTTTTTATTATAATATAGTTCCTTAGAAAACTAGTATTGGGCTTCCCTGTTGGTTCAAATGGTAAAGAATCTGCCTGCAATGCGGGAGACCCAGGTTTGATCCCTGGGTTGGAAGATCCCCTAGAGAAAGGAATAGCAACCCACTCCAGTGTTCTTGGCTGGAGAATTTCATGGACAGAGAGGCCTGGCAGGTTAGAAAACTAGCATCATTATTTTATTAAATATTAACTTTGCTGATCACTTTAATGAATTTCAACTGTCCTTTACCACATTAACTTAAGTTCATTCAGTCCTTCCGCCAGTACTTCTAAATCAGTTTTAGTTAAGAAGTCTATGACTTTGCAATTGAGATTGAGATTACAAAGTGATCTCGGTAATAATAAAACAGATAATGTCATCAAATCCATAAGCAGTTACTTGGTGAACTATTAAATTCTGAATAAAAATCAAGCATTTTCAGAACATAGCTAAATCTATATACCACATGAACAGTAAAAATGTACATATTTATTCACTGTGAGGTGTTGATGAAGTTATAACGAGTGCCTGATACTTGTCCCACTAAAGCAGACAGTAAGAGCATAGTGCCTGGCTTTCTCTCACCGACAGTAGTCATGTTATCTGTTGTTACATGAAAGCCCTTCTTCTCGATAAGCATTTTTACCTCTGACAAAATTTATATACTAATATATTGCCTTACCCTTTGGTTCAAAAGCTGTTTTTCCTAGCATGTCATTCTAGATCCTATAAAGTGTAGCTAACAATTGCTCTAACATGTGCCATTAGTCACTCAGTCACGTCTGACTCTTTGCGACCCCATGGGCTGTAGCCCCCAGGCTCCTCTGTCCATTGGATTCTCCAGGCAAGGACACTGGGGTGGGCAGCCGTTCCCTTCTCCAGGGGATCTTCCCACCCCAGGGATCGAACCCAGGAACCCTGCACTGCAGTCAGATTCTTTACAGTCTGAGCCAGCAGGGAAGCCCAAACCAATGACGAAGTGAAGTGAAAGTCACTCAGTCAAGTCTGACTCCTAGTGACCCATGGACTGTAGCCTGCCAGGCTCCTCTGTTCAAGTAAGTCTCCAGACGAGAACACTGGACTGGGAAGCCGTTCCCGTCTCCAGGGGATCTTCCCAACCCAGGGATCGAACCCAGGTCTCTTGCATTATAAGTGGATTCTTTATTGTCTGAGCCACTTTGTCACAAAGGGCATAACATGCAGGGTTGTCATCAAATGAAAGATTAAGTGGGAAAGAATATACTAGTAGTACGGAATTGTTTGACTATGCAACTTGTTGTGTGTGTCCTACTAAACGCCTAGCACAATTCTAGGAACTTGAGATACAACAGTGAGAAGCAACATAATTGGGCATTACAGTCTAGATCAAGAAGAGTTGGTTGATGAAGAAGCAAACCAGTAGCTGAGCAATGAGATTTCAGAGAGCAGTAAGTGCGGAGAAGACCACAGACCAGGATGGGATAAAGGCTGAGACACAGGAAGACAGGGCTGGATGTGGTGGTCCTTGAGGGCTCGCTGACGGGGGGACTTGTCAGAATACTGGAGTGGGTTGCCAGTTCCTTTTCCAGGGCATCTTCCCGGCCCAGGGATCAAACCTGCATCTTCTGCATTGGCAGGAGGGTTCTTTACACTGCTGCTGCTGCTTACTGACCTATTTCTTGCTATTTCAAACTAACTTCTTTCTGCTTTTATGTTTAAGAGCTCCATTTGAATCCCCTTCCTGAATCTTTCCTTGCCTGCATATGACTTGTTTTGGGATTCTTTAATCAGTGAACAAAATTCTAAAATAATAGATGATGCTGCATTTAAAATAATTTATTAGAATTCTTAAAATAGAATGCTACTATAAATCCACTTTCAGAAAAACTTAGTTCTTTAAAATTAATATCTATGTCTCTCAATCCCATAGTTCGTGCTTCTTTCAAGGAAAAACAGTAGAAATGCTGGGTCATTACTGACACATAGTGCCCTGACCCTGGCCCCTGGCCATGCCGATGTCTGCAGCAGGATTAGGAGACCTCTGAGCAAACTTGACATGCACAGCAATGGCCGTAAGTGACAAACAAATGGACATTTCGAATCAGGAGCACCTAAAGGTTTTCACAGCTGTGTTGTGCAGAAACAGAAGCGAGGATAGAAAGAAGAAACTCACTCATTTAGCTACATCAAATAAACTACCAGTGCTTAACCAAAAAACTACTTCAATGGGGAACTGTAGTAGTTCAACTGAGATCAGTTCAGTTCAGTCACTCAGTCATGTCCGACTCTTTGCGAACCCATGGACTGCAGCACTCCAGGCCTCCCTGTCCATCACCAACTCCCGGAGATTACTCAGACTCATGTCCATTGAGTCGGTGATGCCATCCAACCATCTCATCCTCTGTCGTCCCCTTCTCCTCCTGCCCCCAATCCCTCCCAGCATCAGGGTCTTTTCAAATGAGTCAGTTCTTCACATCAGGTGGCCGAAGGATTGGAGTTTCAGCTTCAGCACCAGTCCTCCCAATGAATATTCAGGACTGATTTCCTTTAGGATGATCTGGTTGGATCTCCTTGCAGTCCGAGGGACTCTCAAGAGTCTTATCCAACACCACAGTGCAAAAGCATCAGTTCTTCGGTGATCAGCTTTCTTTAGAGTCCAGCTCTCACATCCATACATGACTATTGGAAAAACCATAGCTTTGACTGGACAGACCCTGGTTGGCAACATAATGTCTCTGCTTTTTAATAAGCTGTCTAGGCTGGTCATAGCTTTTTGTCCAAGGAGCAAGCGTCTTTTAATTTCATGGCTGCAGTCACCATCTGCAGTGATTTTGGAACCCCCACCCCCCTCAAAAAATAAAGTCTGTCACTGTTTCCATTGCTTCCCCATCTATTTGCCATGAAGTAATGGGACCAGATGCCATGATCTTAGTTTTCTGAATGCTGAGTTTTAAGTCAACTTTTTCACTCTCCTCTTTCACTTTCATCAAGAGGCTCTTTAGTTCTTTGCTTTCTGCCATAAGCCTGGTGTCATCTGCATATCTGAGTTTATTGATATTCTTCCAGCAATCTTGATTCCAGCTTGTGCTTCATCCAGCCTGGCATTTCACACGATGTACTCTGCATATAAGTTAAATAAGCAGGGTGACAGTATACAACCTTGATGTACTCCTTTCCCGATTTGCAACCAGCCTGTTGTTCCATGTCCACTTCTAACTATTGCTTCCTGACCTGCATACAGATTTCTTGGGAGGCAGGTCAGGTAGTCTGGTATTCCCATCTCTTGAAGAATTTTCCACAGTTTGTTGTGATAAACACAGTCAAAGGCTTTGGCATAGGCAATAAAACAGAAGTAGATGTTTTTCTGGAACTCTCTTGCTTTTTGGACAATCCAACAGATGTTGGCAATTTGATCTCTGGTTCCTTTGCCTTTTCTAAATCCAGTTTAAACATCTGGAAATTCACGGTTCATATACTGTTGAAGCCTGGTTTGGAGAATTTTGAGCATTACTTTACTAGTGTGTGAGATGAGTGCAATTGTGCAATAGTTTGAGCATTCTTTGGCATTGTCTTTCTTAGGGACTGAAATGAAAGCTGACCTTTTCCAGTCCTGTGGCCACTGATGAGTTTTCCAAATTTGCTGGCAACTTGTGCAGCACTTTCACAGCATCATCTTTTAGGATTTGAAATAGCTCAACTGGAATTCCATCACCTCCACAAGGTGTGTTCGTAGTGATGCTTTCTAAGGCCCACTTGACTTCACATTCCAGTATATCTGGCTCTAGGTGAGTGATCACATCATCGTGATTATCTGGGTCGTGAAGATCTTTTTGGTATAGTTCTTCTGTGTCTTCTTGCCACCTCTTCTTAATATCTTCTGCTTCTGTTAGGTCCATACCATTTCTGTCCTTTATTGTGCCCATCTTTGCATGAAATGTTCCCTTGGTATCTCTAATTTTCTTTAAGAGATCTCTAGTCTTTCTCATTCTATTGTTTTGTTAATAGCATCAGTTTAAAAATTAACTAGATAACAGAAAATGTGATAGAAAACATAACTCTGGTATAGCAGGTAAATTTTGTTAAATGAAACAAACTAAAAAAAAAAAAAAGAACTTTTTCACTGAGTTATGTAAGAGCCTCATAATTACAAGCTGCAAAGTACATTCAAAAATGGAAATGACAGAAGCAATAGTTCATACTGCTTCAGAAAGAAAAACACATGAGGATTATTTAATCACAATGGACTTGGGCCTACTTTACTTTTATATACCATTTAACTGCCCTCTCTAATAACCACATCTCATCTGTTGTTTGGGCCAAGAGACAAATATGAGTTACACAGAACTGAAGGTTCAAGTCGGAAAAAACAGATGCATTAACATTCCAGGGTCTGAGATTATAATAATTAATATCTGTTAATTTCACTAAACAGTTACAAAATGTTGCAAAATTATTCATTAAAGCAAATTTCACAGAAATTAATTGGTGCTATTTCCCAAGTCCTATAAATCCTGAGTAAAAATGAAAAGAGGATCAATTATTCAAATAAATACATGTTAGTTACTTACGAACAAGACAAAGTGCAAACAGCCCCTGAGGTCCTAGAACCCAGTTAAGGAGATAAGGGATGAGCCCACAGAAAAAGCAGACTGTAAAGCATTAAATTAAATTATCTTGTCTTCCCTCAAACCACTACACAATATGTAATTAAAAGCCTAATAATACTAATAGAAACAACAGCAGTGTTTGTATAGTGATTACTGTATATACATTAAGTGTCTTTGCCTAAATTAATTTATTTAAACTTCACAATAATCCTATGGTGTAATGATGTGGTTTTTTGTATTAATTCTTTTCTTACAGATGAGAAAACTGAGACACGAAGACACTAAATACCTTGTTCTAGGTCACAGGGTTAGGGAGTATTAAAATAAATATTCAAACCAGATGTTCCTGCTCCAGATTCTGTGGTCTTAACTCTGCACTGCACCCAAAAATTTCCTAGGAATGGAAAGGTCCTATGACATCAGGAAAACATCAGGAAAAAAGAGGTCTTGTCCATACATTTCTCTTCTAAATAATGGATGTTGACTTTATTGTTGAATACTGAATTTAATATAGAAAGACTTCCTATGATTGAGGAATTTTGAACTGCCTTTGGACTACAGCAGTATATCTAAAAAGAAGTCTAGTTCCTCATTAGATTACATGCTCAAGAGTAGAAACTGTCTATTCCAAGCACTTAGCATAGTGCCCAACAGAACAGATATGCAATGAGTACTTATCAAATAAACTGAAATCAAATTTGTAGAATATTTCAGCATGTAACTCAATAGATGCCTGCATGCATGCATGAGTGCTCAGTTGTGTCTGACTCTTTGTGACCCTATGGACTATAGCCCACCAGGCTCCTCTGTCTAGGGGATTCCCCAGCAAGAATACTAGACAGGGTTGCCATTTCCTCCTCCAGGGGACCTTCCTGACCAGGGAGGGAACAAACCCATGTCACCTGTGTCTCTTGCACTGTGGGTGGATTCTTTACCACTGAGCCATGGGAGAAGCCCTCAACTCAATATATATATATATATATATATATATATAAGGTGGTTAATCGAAGTAATTTAGGAGATGAAAAAGTTGCTACCCTAAAATTGATCGATTTTGCTTTTTAAAAGGTAGGTTTTTAAAACAGAAAAGAAAATGTTTTATTTTACTGTAGATAAAAATCTTCTGAATAAAACTAAAGTGAATACTGTGAAACAGCGAATATAAAGCAGAAGAGCAAGGTTATTTAAAGTAAGCGGAACTTACCTTTGCGCCGTCTAAGCTGATTATCCTATACACGTTTCTTGTGCTGTCATAGAAATAAGACACAGTAACTGCATGCTTACTGGTGGGCACCCAGTTCTTCTTTGTGTTTGGGTCGATCTGGAAGACGTGAGCTCGAGTGCTGAAGATGGGTTGTTCCCTGCAGGGGAGAAAACAAAAGGCTGAAAGCAGCCGCCCTGATTCCACCGGACAAGAGAACATGAAAACTGCGGGGTAACTCCTCTTAACCAAAAGCTCCCACGTCCTTGAAAATATAAGAAACTTTCTTCTAGATTTGAATACTCTGGAGATGTGCAACCATACGCTTCTTTAAAACAACTAGTCAATCCTTACTATTTGAAGATTCTGTATCCGAGACTTTGCCTACTCCATAGAGGGCATCTGTAACCACAAAATCCATACTTGTGGTACTTTCTTGGTCTTTCCCAGTGACCTCACATGCTCCACCTGAGGCTGATCAAGGCAATACTCAGCCTTCTTGTTTCAGCTCTCACACTATAAACAACTGTCCTTTTTGCAACCGATTTAGCACCATGGAGTTTGCATTTTTGTGCTTTCTGTTGGTACTTGCACTGTTTCAAATGGCCCCCAAGCACAGTGCTGAGTGCTGTCTGTTCTTAGGTATAAGCAGATTGTGATGTGCCTCAAGGAGAAAAAATGTTATATAAGCTTTGTTCAGGCATGAGTGCTTTTGGCCACGAGCTAATGGTAATGAATCAATAATATATATTAAATAGGGTGTCTTTTAATAGAAACATAATCAAACAAGGCTATTGATTGGCTGATGAAAATGTAACCTAAGGCTCACAGGAACCTAACCCTGTGTCTCCCTCAGGACGATGGTTCAATATCACTAATTCAGTGTTTGTGGTGCCTTTGTAGAACAAAACCACTACAAATAAAACTGACGATGTGCTATTAAAATACAAGTATCTTGTATGTGGCTGTCACTAAGCTAAAAGTTTTTACCCACTTAAAATTACATAATTCTGGGGAGGAATTTACTGGGAAAGTTTATACTCAATATAATCTCTACTACACTGAAAAATACAAGGAAAACAAAGTAATCCATCTTCACAGTATCTTTTACCTAAATCGAGTAAGGCCTTAAATAGAGATTTTTATAATTATCATTTCAAGAACCAAAACTATTCAAAAATATATATTCAAAATATGATCACTACAGATTGCTTTTACAGTCTGAGGAACAAGCCTAAAAAAATCTGCATGTAATAGAACCATTATAAAGCAAAATATTCCAAGTTTTCAGTAAAAATTCCCTGGTAATAAGCACTGACCAAAATTTGGGGGAGGCCAACTGTTTCTTTCACTGACATAACACTCTTCTTTCCTAAAGCAGCTTAAGGTCCTAAGGAGAATTTTAACTGGTACTAGGTAAAGTTAAAATTAAGCACGTTTAAATTTTTTCATTTTAAAGAACTAAAAAAAACTTTCCAATATTAAGTTCAAAGACGTGAAAGGAGAATATGGAAAACAGTGAAATTTGAAAACAGGCAAGGCAAATTTTGGTCTTTGGCAAAATGACTCTTCGGATTAGTAATAATGGGCTGGGTGTTACATATGCCTCCTTTGATTTACTTTAGCCCTTAGAGAGCTGTTATGAAAGGGAGGTACCTTTCCTGTATATAACCAGGCTCTTCCCGGTTTTATTTCTGGAAACCTTCATAACAACTGTTCTTATGAAAGAATCACTTTTGAAAGGAAGTGAGCGATACATTTTATGCCTCTCCCTAAAAAATGAAGCAGGAAGTCATCACTTCTGGCTTAACTGCCATTATACACAGGTTCATTCAAGAAATAATTATGAATGATCTGGCAACGCACTATGCCAGTTGAAGTCTTCCAAACTAGGAGTAGGTCTTACTCACTCCCTTTCCCATCCTCAAAATCTCTGACTTTCATGGCGAGGCTGGTGCAACATTTGGGTTGTCCTCCAGAAGTCCTACAACCTCTGATTTTCTTTTCTCATCTTGTAATTAAAGTTTAGAGAGTGCTACTAGCTTTGATTCATACTGAAATTCACTCATACAAAATTCTATTTATTAAGACACATAAAGAAAGGAAATAGGCCACTTGATCTTATTGACTTGGTACTTCTTTTTTTCATTTGACAGGGGGTAAATTTCTAGATAGTGTAGGCTGATAGAAGCATGTTTTCTAGTACATATATTTTCCAAAAAAGTAAAACTGTTAAGACAATGATACTGCTCTTGCAAGCCTTATATGACTAATCATCAAATCCTTATTCAATGGAAACACAATGTTTTGAGTCCAATAAATACTTTCACACTATATTAATTCACACAGTGTAATTAATCTGCACAATTATTCCACTCAATTTAATCCCATTCCGAATAAAACTCTTTAGGGTAAACTAGCTATTTTTACAAGCAAATGACATCTGACATCAACTAAACACACTGTTTTCTTCAATTCTTTTCTGATTTCTTAAAGAAAGTTATAGTTCAAGATTTCTGTGGTCAAAAGCCTAGCCATCATCATCTGGATGATAAAGGCTAGGAAAATAAGTTTACAGCTGATAAACAGTGAAGAGAATTTCAAGAAGTAATGAGGGTGATACCACATTTACCAGGGCATACAAATAGGTGATACACACTCTTACTGAATATCTACCACATGCATAAAACAGAGAGAGATGGTCTTTGCCTTTGACAAGTTCAACCTGGTGTGGAAAGACAGACATGTTAAACAACTGAAATACTCTTCAGCATGATAAAGACTCTGAAAGTGTAAATGGGTAAGGGCTACTATGGAGAAGCTGATGCCTAAGAAGAGCCTGAAACCGTGGCACAGCATGAACCTCGGTGAGTGTGAGTAACTTTGAAGAATGAGGCTAGAGATAGAGAAGTCAGTTCATGAAGGTACATGCTGGGAACTACTGAGACATGTAAATAGGGGACAGCTTTGCATTTTAGAACAGTAAATTCAGTAGCACTGAAGACGGTGGTTGGCAGAAGCAGAAGATATTAAGAAGAGGTGGCAAGAAGACACAGAAGAACTGTACAAAAAAGGTCTTCATGACCCAGATAATCATGATGGTGTGATCACTCACCTAGAGCCAGACATACTGGAATGCGAAGTCAAGTGGGCCTTAGAAAGCATCACTACGAACACACCTTGTGGAGGTGATGGAATTCCAGTTGAGATATTTCATATCCTAAAAGATGATGCTGTGAAAGTGCTGCACAAGTTGCCAGCAAATTTGGAAAACTCATCAGTGGCCACAAGACTAGAAAAGGTCAGCTTTCATTTCAATCCCAAAGAAAGACAATGCCAAAGAATGTTCAAACTACTGCACAATTGCACTCATCTCACACACTAGTAAAGTAATGCTCAAAATTCTCCAAGCCAGGCTTCAGCAACATGTGAACTGTGAATTTCCAGATGTTTAAGCTGGATTTAGAAAAGGCAGAGGAACCAGAGATCAAATTGCCAACATCCGTTGGATCATCCAAAAAGCAAGACAGTTCCAGAAAAACATCTACTTCTGTTTCATTGCCTATGCCAAAGCCTTTGACTGTGTGGATCACAACAAACTGTGGAAAATTCTTCAAGAGATGGGAATACCAGATCACCTGACCTGCCTCCTGAGAAATCTGTATGCAGGTCAGGAAGCAACAGTTAGAACTGGACATGGAACAACAGGCTGGTTGCAAATTGGGAAAGGAGTACATCAAGGTTGTATACTGTCACCCTGCTTATTTAACTTATATGCAGAGTACACCATGCGAAATGCCAGGCTAGATGAAGCACAAGCTGGAATCAGGATTGCTGGGAGAATATCAATAAACTCAGATATGCAGATGACACCAGGCTTATGGCAGAAAGCAAAGAAGAACTAAACAGCCTCTTGATGAAAAAGGAGAGAGAAGAAGATGACTTAAAACTCAGCATTCAGAAAACTAGGATCATGGCATCTGGTCCCATCACTTCATGGCAAATAGATGGGGAAGCAATGGAAACAGAGACAGACTTTATTTTTTGAGGGGGGTGGGGGTTCCAAAATCACTGCAGATGGTGACTGCAGCCATGAAATTAAAAGACGCTTGCTCCTTGGACAAAAAGCTATGACCAGCCTGGACAGCTTATTAAAAAGCAGAGACATTATGTTGCCAACCAGGGTCTGTCCAGTCAAAGCTATGGTTTTTCCAGTAGTCATGTATGGATGTGAGAGCTGGACTCTAAAGAAAGCTGATCACCGAAGAACTGATGCTTTTGCACTGTGGTGTTGGATAAGACTCTTGAGAGTCCCTCGGACTGCAAGGAGATCCAACCAGATCATCCTAAAGGAAATCAGTCCTGAATATTCATTGGGAGGACTGGTGCTGAAGCTGAAACTCCAATCCTTCGGCCACCTGATGTGAAGAACTGACTCATTTGAAAAGACTCTGATGTTGGGAAAGATTGAAGGCGAGAGAAGGGGACGACAGAGGATGAGATGGTTGGATGGCATCACCGACTCAATGGATATGAGTCTGAGTAATCTCCGGGAGTTGGTGATGGACAGGGAGGCCTGGAATGCTGCAGTCCATGGGTTCACAAAGAGTCAGACATGACTGAGCGACTGAACTGAACTGAACATTGGACATAGGGATGCTAGTCAGAATCTTACAAAGGATCCCAAGTAGTAAAATAAAAATAAAAAGGATAGGAGGTTAGGGAGTGGAATGAAGACATGAAAAGGGATTAAAGGTAAATTAAGAAAGTAGACACAGTATGATTAAGCAACAGTTTGGATGTAGGGCAGTGGTTCATCAAACTGGGTGAGCTGTCTCCCAGGGGACATTTCTCAAAGTCTGGAGACACTTTGGACAGCCACAGCTGAGGAAGACTGCTACTGGCTTCTAATGGGAAGAAGCCAGGGATGTTGCTAAATATTTATAATGCACAGGACAGCCCCCTACAACAAAAAACTATCCAGCCAAAAATGTCAACAGTGCCAAGGTGAAGAAATTGCCTCCTGGGTTTCTGGTCTGGGTAACTGAAACGAAGACAGTGCCCCTAGGCAGGATGGTAAACAGAAAATAAAAGTCAGGAACTGGGGGCTGGCTGTGAGGGAAAGATGAGCTCTCAGTTTTGACCAAGTTCAAAAGCGTA